CAATGCACATCAACTCCTGGGGACTGATAAGCCCACATTGGAGAGGGGGAAGAAAACCAATGTCAGAGTAGAGCGCGGCCACGCCCTAGGGAAGGGAGCAAATGGAGACTGAGCAGGTTGCTCTGTAGTCACTGGCTCTCAGGATGACAGGTGGAAGCTTGGAGCTGCTATGCTAAAGCAGAGTGATGGGAAATTGCAATATGGAGGCAACCTTCCTGGGCGATGATCACTGGCAGGAGAATTTCCACCACTACGTCGAAACTCAACTCCAGCATCATCTGTTTATAAGGGTTTGACTTCCACTTCTCTATGTCCCCACGGTACCCATGCTCATCTCTATTAGAGCAGCAACAATACTGTATTATACTCCATCCATCCGCCCATTTGTCCATCCACCTGTCTGCCCATCCATCCATCCATCCACCCATTGTTCGAGGGTATCCATTGCCTGTCTCTCATGAGCCAGACACTATACTGGGTGCTAAAGGTATAGCAGCTGCTTCATTCATCAATTTCTTCTACTAGACACATAGTTCTGTGACCTTTTAAAAAAATTCATGTTTGTATCCTTGGGGCTTAGCCCAGGGCCTAGTACATAATAGTCACTCAGGAGACCATACTGTGTGGTGATTGAGAACGTGGCAGGTCCCGCACAAGTTGCTTAAAACCTTAAACCTCATTTTCTTTATCCGTCATGATAGCCCCTACCCCTAACAACTACTATAAGGACCAAAATGAGGGGTCACCGAAGGGTGTGCTAAGTGTTGTATAAATGATGGTTGTAATCCTAAGGAATGGGTTACTTAGGCTTCCAAGACCAGGCACAGGAGCCTTCCCTGTCACCATGGGAGACAGGATATCCTGTTTCCACATGTCTGTCACCCCTCCCCATTTACCCCCTCCCTCCCACGTTGGCACACAGCAGCAGCAGCTTCTAGAAGCCTCTGGCCCCGTACCAGGTGTCATCTGTCCAATTCTAAGCAACTTTGTCCCTGGGTTTTGTTCTGACATTAAGGAGTGGCAGAGTCCCAAGGGGCAAAACTCATATTGGAACACAAAACGTTTCACTTCAGAAGCAATACCGAAGCTGTCTGGCCACGAACAATGTCCTTTTCTCCAGGATTAATGTTTCCTTTTCATAACTGCTGATCAAATTAAGACTACAATGTGAGAAAAGCAGAGCCGCAGAGAGAGTCTGCCGAGGACAGAGAATTCCTTTTCCCTCCCTACACAGCCAACCACATCAGGCTGGAAGCTAAAATAAAATTAAAGGGAAAGAGAAAAGAGACAGACCAAACAGATTAGGTGCTGGTATGCAGTTTAGAGAATCTGTTTAACTCAAGATTTTTCTTTTCTTTTTTTTTTTTTTTTAAAGCTCTGTGGTGGTTCCCATGATTGAATTTAAAAATTCATCTCCTCAGATAAAATCTACTTTGTCACTCTGCTGCCCTCTGTCCTGCCTCCAAGCCATCGTGATGCTGGGTCAGTGATCTCTGAATTGTATCTCCTACTTCATGGCCAGAGTCAGTGTGATGTGCATCTAGTGACCATCGCAAATTCAAGGTTACCAGGAAGAATCTTCACCAGAAACTTTGGGCTTTGGGGTCAGTTAAATACGGGTTCCATTCCTTTGGAGTTATGGGGCTCTGGGCAAGGTTTTAAACTTCTCTGAGCTTGTTTCCCCATCTGTCAAGTGGGTACAAGAACATCTACCTCACAATGTAATTATGAGAATTGTGTAAGATATGACTTAATCCATTATGTGTCACTATAAGGAAATACCTGAGGTTGGGTAATTTATAAAGAAAACAAATTTATCTTCGCTCAGAGTTCAAGAGGCTGAGAAGTCCAATATCAGTTGAATTCATCCATTTGGTTTCTGATGAGGGCTTCATGTTCTCTTATAACATAGTACAGAAGTGAAAAGCGATCCAGGAAGGTGCAAAGAAAGGAGCACATGGGCCAGAATGTGGCAGGGTGCCAGGCTCACTTTGTAACAACCCAGTCTCTACAATTATGTCTACAACATTTTACAAGGACTAATCCAGTTTCAAGAGAACCAACCTAATCCCCTGAGAAAGACATTAATCCATTCACAACGTAGAGCCTCAGACCTAATCACCTCTTCAGAGTCCCACATCCCAATACCTTGATCTTGGCAATCCAATTTCAACATGAGTTTTAGTAGGAAAAAAAACACGTCCAAACCATTATAATAGGCAAATTTCCCAGCACATAGTAGGTGCCTCACATTGATAAGTTCTTTTATGCTGGACACGTATAGTATGCTGCCTTTTTATTTTTATTTGTATTTTGGATCCCCTTTACAATGCAAATGCTCATGAAAAGAGTAAGTAAACTATTATCAGTTATTGACCCTTGAATGGGTTTCAGTTTGTGTGTGTGTGTGTGTGTGTGTGTGTATGTTTCTGAATAAACTTGGCTTTTATAAGGAAGATGGAGACGCAAATGGACCGTGCTGGTTCTGGAGCAGTCAGAGGGTCCCTGGGAGAAAGAATCTCAGGAGTGTTGAACAATCACAGAACAAGAAGGTAAGGAGTCCCATGCCACCGTACCTCTTTAAAAGCTTGCTAAAGCTGATGTCTCCCTCCCTCCTTCTTTCCTCTCTCCCTCTCTCCTCTCTCCCTCTCTCCTCTCCTCCCTTCTTTCCTCTTTTCCTTTTTTCCTTTTGTCCTCTCCTCAAATTTTGATGCTATAAATGATGTCAGTATTTAAGTGCAAAGAAATAAATGAGAGAGAGAGAAAAAAAGTGACCTTCTCCTTAAACACAGGCTGAAAAAACTGCCCGGGGATTCCTGGGTACAGTGGCTGTGGGCAGAGCCAGGGCTCTGCTGTTTTTCTCTTTCTTGACCCATTAAGCGGCTTTCAAGTGCTGTAGACAGAAGCACACACACACACACACACACACACACACACACACACACACACACAGATGGTCCCCAATGGTTCAATTTACAGGTTTTCAACTTTTCTGTGGTACAACAACAATGCACATTCAGTAGAAACCATACTTTGACTTTTGAATCTCCTGGGCTAGCAAGATGCTGCTCAATACTCTCTTGAGATGCCAACGACAGCGACAGCCGTGAGCTGTGGCTCCCAGTGCACCCCACGGTCATGAGAAAACAACCAATACCCTCCAGTGGATTTTGTTGCTAAGCGAGGATGTTCAGTAGGGAGCTGTGTCGAGTATGAAGCCTCAACTTATGGTATTTGCACCTTACAAGCATCAATCAGAATGCAACCTCATCATAAATCCAGAAGCCTCTCTTAATGGGTTCTTGCCATACACCACGTACTAAGTACCTCATGCACATTGTAGTTCAAGTTTCAAAATATCTGCATAAGTTAAGTTCATTGCAATTAAAAAGTTTTAGAAATCTACTTTGAACAACTTAATACAAAAAGAAGAATCTATTTATTTATGGAACCAGAAATCCCAGAGCTATAACATATCTGAAGGGATTCAAGTTTAACTCCCCATTTTCCTTCTCTTCCATGCACTACTGTAAAGCAGGTTGCATGACCAAGGGACATGTTGCTCTGATGGTCCAGGTGCACACCACATGGGCTCTGCAAGGGCCAGAGGTGAGGTTATTCCCCAAACTTAGAGTGGAAAGTACGATCCTCCAAAGACCAAGTTCTGTTACCGAAAGAGTCAAGGGGGTGCCCAGACTCATGACAACAAGAGATATTCATTAGGAGTGATATATTCTTGACTTTGCTTCAAAGATGAACAAAATGAGGGTTAAAGCGATTAAGTGACCTGCTCAAGGTCACAGAGATGGTGAATGTCAGAGCCAGGACTTGAGCCAACACCTGCCAATTATTCCATGGTATGTTCTACCAACTAGACCTCAACCCATAATGAAGCAGGTAGCCTGGGAAAGTATGAGAAGGTCTCTGGATTGAGAAAACTCATCGTTTTAGAAAAGCAATATTAAATAAATATTTCTTACCCTCCAATAACTTAAACCTATCTCTCGCTCATTTCTTCCCTCTGAACAGGTAACGACTCTTTCTACCTGCACTTTCTGACAGGCAGTGATGGCATGTAAACAAATTCTTATCGGTAAATTTGGGGCAATAATATTTATCTGCTTCCAGCATTAAAAAGGAAAAAAAAAAGAAAAGAAAAGGAAAAGAAAAAAAAATTCTTCCTTAGCAATGTCAGCCTTGTCAAACTGAAAAGTGTGGAAATCTAAGTGTGGCAGTCAGGGGTCCGTGGTGGAGATAGATTTCTTTTTTAATTTATTTCTACATTTGTGTTAAGGTCAGTGTATTCATTTCACAGTAGGGAAGGATGAATTTTGACATTTTTATAAGGGTGATTGATTGGTTTGTGTCCATTTGTGAAACTGTACATGGCAAGAGGCCATGGCAAATGGAAGAGGGGAGGGAAAGAAAAACAACAAAAAAAAATGACTCTTTTCTTGGAAACCTGCCTATCACCATTTTGGAAGCGTCCCAGAACTGATGAGCGTAGACACAGATCTGAGCAGAAGATAGAGGAGTGTTTGACACACATTAATTAAAGTACAAAGGGGGAGGATATTGACAGAAATTGCATTTGAATTACATATGCTAGCTGCCCTGGGAGAGAGTTCTCCATCTCCCACGAGGTCCCTACCCCCTGTGATCCTGGGAAGAAAGCATTACCAAAGAACAAAATCCCCACGAAAGGTCAAGAGGCTGGACCCTCTGCCTGGAACTTTCTTGCCCATTCTTCACAGTTTCCCCTATCTTCACAGGTTCTCCTAGCTCCCCATCCCCTGACCCTTTGGCTTCCATATGGTAATAATCAGATCTTGTAATTGTATGTTTTGTAACTTCCTGGCTAAAGGCTAAACTTGATGAGGCGAAGGGGCAAAGCATATCTGCTTATCGCTATATCTCATTTGCTAAGCTCTAGGGCATAATAATTATAGTATGCACTACTAAATATTTGTTGAATGGTCAATGAGTGAATGACTTTTTACCTTTTGAGTTGTGACAGAAACAGCGATTCCATCCTTTCTTTCCAAGGATAGGAGCAGGCGATTTAAATTGCTGTGCTTATAGGATAATTGATAGGATCCCAGAAACATTGAACTGGAAAGCAGTTTCCCTTAAAAACCAGACGACTGCTCCTTGGTGATTCCCCCACCCTCTTTTGTGATGACATCACTGACTGTTTCATCAAGGGTAACTTCCTGTGGGCCCTAGGCGGGACTGCTTCTTCCTAAGAGTCCACCTGCTTTAGCTTTTGTTTTAGAACCTCCGGACATCAGCAATGGTCACCCCAGAGTCTCAAAGCTGAGCCCTCTAATGGTGGGAATCCCAAGTTCGAGGATTCTATGGCTGCACTGAAATTTCCATGGGAAAGTCACATGGTTCGATTGGCTCTAGAGGCAATAAGTTGCATTACCCAGGGATTCAATGGGGTTGAGTATTTTACTTTCTGTTTGGGATTCAGCCTGCATCCTCTTATAGAGGGACAAAAATATTAATTTATAGACGCTCTCAACCTGCCTCCCCCTCCCTACTCTTCCCCATTGGTGAATCTGGCCTTAGGAATCTGCTCTTCCTCTTCCTCGGTTCTAATAATTCCTCAAAGTGGTTCCTTGGGGTTTCCATGTGACAGGATCAGAAGGGTAAGGTGGAATACAAAACTCAGAATTCAAAAGGTGGTTTACGGCAGCAAAACAGGCCTAAATCAAAGTGTACGACTCACAGGCAGTGAGCCGGGTGGTGGGATAGATATCTAGGGAGTGTATTATTACTTTCTTCTCTGCCTTACAGTGTGGGATGAAGGTGCTGAGAGAGAAGAAATAGTGGGAAATTTCTGGGAATTGCAAGATATCAGGAAAGCAGATAACAGCCAAGTTCGCCAACATCCCTTTTTGTGAATGATGTATGGCAGTCTATTTCGTGGTTTTCAAGAGATAATGAGATCTCTGGAAATTCAGCTGAACTCTTCTACTTTGCTTGGGAATCTAAAAGCAGCTCAGGAACCTAATAAATAGATCAGGGCCCAAAGCATTTCTGCAACTTTCTAGGTACATCACCAAGTAAGTGCTCTTTCTCCGCTGCTTAATTCAGGACCTGTCTTTAGGATCCTCTTCCATATCTTATCACCCCTTATCCATGTCTTTTCTTCCAACTTCTCACATTGCAACCAAGTGTGACCATGGATTCCACATTGAAAGAACCTCATCAGTGTACTTTCTTCTTCTTGTAAAAATGATGAATAATTTGCAAACGAAACCCTATTTAAAAGAAAACCAAGGGGGCTTCATCTGACTCAGATCCTAGGAAATGGATTGCAAAGTGTTTGGCCTCATTCTTAATGTCTGCTTCAAAGGAAACTCCTGGATTGGCCTCAATAACCCTTTACTTACAGTGCTATCCTCCCTAATGGAATGTGAACATCTAGGACTCTGGTTTGCTATGCCATCCTAAACCATCACTTAGAGCAAAGTGTGTTCCCAGTCCAGTGCACAACATGTCTTGTGCCCTTTTCTAAAATTTGCCCTTTTCAAAATTCAAATGATAGCTAATTGCACATGTATTTTTCAAAGGTCTAACCCACTCCTGGTTTTGTTTTTAAATGAGCCAATTCTTTACTTATGCTTTTAAATGGACAAAAATTATACGTATTTATGGTATGCAACATGAAGTATGGATATACCCATACTTTGTGGAATGGCTAAATAAAGCTGATTAGCATATGCATTACCTCAAAATTCTTATTTTATGGTGAGAATAGTGCAAAATCTACTGTCTTAGAATTTTTAATACTAAAGTGCTGTATTTACCATGACCATAGTCACCATGTAGTACAACAGATTTCTTGAATTCATTCTGTCATATATGAAATTATGTATCTCTTAATCAGTATTTCCCTCTTCCTCCTTCCCCCTGGTAACCACCAGTCTATTCTCTACGTCTATGAATTAAACTTTTACAGTTTCCATATGTAAGTGAGATCATGCAGTATTTATCTTTCTGTGCCTGGCTTATTTCACTTAACATTATGCCTTTCAGGTTCATCCATGTTGCTACAAATGATAGAATTTCCTTCTTTTTAAAGATTGAATAGTATTCCAGTATGTACATAAGCCACAGTTTCTTCATCTGTCATTCTCCTGTTGGACGCTTAGGTTGATACCATATCTTGACTATTGTGAATATGCTGCAGTGAACAGGGGAACCCAGCTTCTCTCTTCTTCAAAGCCATAGCTCTTTCTCAAATTCTGTTTATTCCTTTCTTCCTTTTACACTTACAAGTATGAACTTAATTTCCCAGAAGCCGTGGCCCCCTGGTAAAGAGGAAGAGGATACCAGCGGAGAAGCTTCTCTTTCCAAGACTCATCAACTAGCTATATTTCACATAGAGCAGGTGCCCAACAATTGTTTATTGAATGAATGGTTCTGTTCTGAAGATTCCTGGAACTGTTCTCACAGTATCAGGTGGGATGGCAAATTTAGATATCAAATGAACCCACTGATAAATTGCTCAACAGGACTGAATAGGGTTTTATTCATTCAGACAATAAGGATTCTGCCACGGCCCCAGGGCAAAGGCTGAGGTCCAGTGTTATCTTCATGCCTCTTTCAGATCGATAGAGAAGGAAGGTTTGGAAGATCAAAGTCTTTGGTTTAAATCCTGGCTTTGGTCAGATTTTACCTACATGACTTTGGAAGTGATTCAACCTCACTGGCCCTTATCTTCTCCATCTGAAAAATGAGGATAACAATGCCTTCCTCCTCCCACCAGTACTAGGAGAGTGGGATGAGATAAAAAGGAATGGGATGTGGTAGCAAAATGGCTAGTATTCAATAAATGCTTCTTGCTAGAATTGGTTGATTCACTTCAGATTCTACCTAGAGCATTGGAAGTTTTGAATAAAGTTATCATGGATTAGTTTTAGGAAGTAACACATTAAATTTAAAAAGCAATTATCACAGGACTATTGCTCTCACCTCCCCCTGTATGATCGATTTTATATTGAAACTGTCTTACTATTGGAAAACTCAGGCTCACCTTACCTAGACAGGGACTAATTTCCTGTGTAGAAAACGACTTCCCATAATCCTCTCCCTAATAACTCCTCATAGGCTTGGAAGCCATTAGATGACACAATCTCCAGAAAGTAAAATTACCATTTCATTTAACATGTTTGTTGTTTTCCTAGGCAGAATAGAAATAGGTCTACGGTCACAACTCTCAGCATCCAGAGCCATTGCCCATACAGGAAAACCACCACTAATTAGCACCTTTGTGTGGGCCTGTGGAAGGGCTGATGCTGTTTTTTTTGTTTTGTTTTGTTTTCTGCTTTCATCTCTTTGGCAAACATCCCTGGAAAGCTAGTCATAAATGCTAATGAAATTGCAATTTCTGTTGGAAGACAGGTCCCAGAATATTTAAAAGCTCAAAACCACTTTTCTGGGTGGTGCATTGTCATGTATATTAATACTCTTTCGCAACCTACTTTTTAATATAAGCTAATATCAATGTAAAGACCAACCATCAAAAAATAAGCTTAACTCTGACTTTCTCACCTTCAGCTAGGTCAACCCAGACTCACTCCCTGGTGTGTGTGTGTGGGTATAAAGACCATCTTCTCTATCTTTCCAGGTTTGAGGTGCCTTGGTGATAAGGACTTCATAAATACATAACTGGATGCATGTGATCTGTCAGTCTTTCAAGAGGGATAGATAAGATAGCAATGCAAAAAAAATGGTGGTACAATGATTTCACATAAGATTCAATACCTACTAGAAACAAAATAACAAAGCAATATCAGAATTGCAACCTTTATATTAATCTTCCAAAGGAGCAAGTCAATATACTTTTTGACTTCTGGCAAAAATGTCAAGGGCCTCATTGGCCTGAAGTTACACCCTCATCCTAAGACCCCCATTGGAGGACAATGGAAGGGGAAGAAATACCTACCAGAGTTAGCAAATGACAAGAAAACTGGCTGTGCACTCTCGGAAGAGGGAGTGGGTCCTGGTTGCTTCTTAAATATTGTCATTCCAGCTTACCTCTCTATGTTAATTTTTAGGCTGCTCTTTTTTTCCCAGCCCGATTCCCTCACCGTGTCTGTGACCACACACGGGTGCCTGATGCTTCACTGGAGTTTCAGTTCTTGACAGTGTTTCCCATCACAGTGTGAAAATTTTCTATTTTCCCAGGCCCTTGAGATCGGCTCTGTCTTTTGTGAGAAGGAGGCTTTTAAAAGACAGCTGAAGTGGATAAGAGCTACGCTGGGCTCGCCAACAAGGAGCCGCGCATGAGCTGCCAACCGCAGCATTAGCCCTGCTCCAGCTCAGCTCTGGAATAGCTTGTTTGGAGGGGTTTGGCTTAAGCCTATGGAAATCAAAAGACTTTTCAATTCTACCTGTCCCTGGGATGGGCCAGAGTTATCACTCAGAGAGCATGGGGGGCGGTGAGGGGGGGGGGAGGGACCTCCAGCCAGAGGAAAAAACCAGCAAAACTCATTTTCATTGCAGAAGCAAAGTCCCACAGCTCAACACTTTGAACAAGGTCAGACAAATGCAGCCCTTCCTTCCCTGGCCCTCTGCTATTTTCTTGGTTTATTTATGTATTCAATAACACCATCAGCAGCAATTTGAACTCCTCTCTTCCTGAAACATCGATGCCAGGGTAGACTTCTGAACAAGAGATTTAGCACATCACTCCACCAGATTGTTGCCCAGGTTAAGTGAGGAGAATGTTGTCATGTGTGTAATACAAGAGAAAACCATTCTGCAAAATCAATATCTCCTTAAACACAAATTACACTAATTAGGTTGGGAGAGTGGAGGGAGTTCTCTGTGATGAAGGGAACCAGCTTATTGCAATCCTTATTTATTTTTTTTTTTAAATTCTCTTTCATTTGGCAGGTCAAGACATTTTGGAAGCTCTTTTTTTTTTTTTATAGCCCTGAGCTGAGTTCCTCTTATTCCTCTGCTTTGGGGGCTGCAGCAGAAGGGCTAATGCATCATAAGGAGACTGTTAGAGGTGTCCTAGGAATTGGAAACAGGCATTAATATGAGCTCAGACTGGCCCTTGAAGTCAGTTATGAGATAGCATGGAGCATGTGCAGATTGGGGGTGCTTATTGCATGGTTCTGGGGGAAGTGATGCATGGAAAGAACATTGGTATTATTTTTGGCTTAGGCTGAAGCAAAATTAATCTTCATTTCATCATGCTGAACACACTGAATGTACACAAATGGCTCTATCAGAAGCATTACTTTCTCCACAATATTACTTTCAAATAGAATCTTTGTTTTTTGCAGAGACACATTTCCACACAGAGAGATCTTTCAGTTTTGCTACGGG